AAGGATAATGGCACGCAATTGAAGTTCACAATTTCCCATTTTTCCTGGCCTGTTGGTTCTAGTTGAGGCAATTTTCAGTTAGTACTGTTATCAGACAACTATGTGGGAAATTGTTTCAAACACAATATAACCTTTTGTTAAGAATCAGGGCCTCTACTGGCAGTCGGCTGTGATTTAAGGCAGATGTGTGAAAGTCTTAGACCTGAGGTGCACATCGGGTCCAAACTGAGCCAAAGAGCACATCAGGAAGAGCCAGGCACTCAGGAAACTCTCAAAGACCGGATTGTGACTTCTTATCCAAAGCCTGTAGTGATGCAACAGATAGAAACTTCACAATTATCACTGAGAGCATCTGGATGACAATAGCAACCTCCTGTTTATGTTTACTGTGATAAGATGCACAGTGTGCAGAAATCATAATGTAGCTTTGCGACTTAGTATTTACAAGATAAGCAGCTCCTACAAGTGAACTTGGAACATAGTTCCTGTTGACCTCTCAGATTATACAGCAGCTCTCACATCTGTACTGTATACAGATAAGTGAAACCAGCTACAGCTAGAATGTGTCATAAAGTTTGCATCATCTTTTTTTTGAGTTGCTCAACCCAACAATATGAAATGCAATCACAGACTGTGACAGAAGCAGCCACGTGAGAATGGTTAGTGACAGATTTAACAAGGGCAGTTTCATTACTCACTGATGGCTGTGTTTGGTCTCAGTGCTTTGAGGAAACGCAGCTGACCCCAGTCTCTATACACAGTGTAACTAAACACAACAGGCTTTGCTCAAGCACTCTAAATTAAACTTCTACAACAAACTTCATCATCCAGTGGTACACACTCGGCAGAAGTTTAGTGTGCACAGTTGGTTCAAACTTTGGTAACCTTCCGTCGCCTGAGATAAACTATATTTTATCATCAAGTCTGCCCCATTAGGAGTTGAATGTTCAAAACAAACGCAGCTCCGCTCAAGGTCCTGTTAACAATTGCAACCTCACAGATTTTTATTGTTCACCCCCAAGATTACAGTCAATTCATTTATTAGAGAACATTACAACGGCAGATGCCAGATCAGATATGGCTTTTAGCAACAGAATAGCTGCTTTGATTTCTCAGTTCACTTAAAGAAGTTGTTTTGCCAGACCCGTGTATCCATACTTGGCTGATGTTGAGTTTGTTACTGTCATAAAAAATCTTGCAGACACCTTGAAAAAGAGAGTGCCAGAAGCATTTTTAACATTTTCAGGAATTCTGCTGAAAACCTCCAAGACACCAGTGGTGGAAGAAGTACTCAAATCCCTTACTTAAGTAAAAGTAGCAACCAAAGTGTAAAATTACTCTGAACACAAGGACTTTTATTTATAACAAAATATAAAGGTACAAAGGTATTAGCATCAGAATATATTTAAAGTGCTCATTTGGCAAAATGGCACATTTAACATTAAGTATATGATATTATTGTGTACATCACCTTTAATGTTGCAGCTGGTAAATGTGGAACTAGTTTTTACCGGACCTCAACCTCTGGGGCTGAGAACTGTAGCCAATGTGGAAGTGCCAATCCTGCAGTTCCTCGAATGACCACTTGAGGCTGTCTCCAAAAGGGAGTCAATCCCCATAGACTCCCATGTTAAAATGGCCATATTTATATCAGATATAAACATAGCTAATTTCACTTTCCATGACACCTGTATAGGGGGTGAATTTTTATGTAACTCAACCATTAAAATTATAGTGATGCTAAAAGCACCTCACAGTTAAGGGCATGGCCGCTTTGAGTGACAGGCAGGAGGGTCCTGCCACTGGTGGCTAGCTTCATTCAGATTGCCTTGGCTCCATCTCTTTGCCCATTTTTGGATTAGCCATGGCAGGTGATGTGTAGCACTACCAATATGGCAGCAGCCAAATTTGAGCTTCAAAACTGCTCTTCAGAAAACCACCACATTCGTAGTGGAGTGAGGAACCTCAGTAAGCTGCTGTCCGTCCTGAACAACATTCATCACCCTCTGCACAGCATGATCACCAGCCAGAGGAGTTCTGTCAGCAGTAGGCTGATGTCTTTCTCCTGCTCCATGGACAGACTGAAGAAGTTGTTTGTCCCTCGGGCCATACTCCTCTCAGTTGTACTTAAGTACAGTACCTGAGTAAATGTACTTACTTTCCAGCTCTGCAAGACTCAGTCCTACTATTTAGCTGTAGAAATTAGCCAACCCATCTGTTGACACCACTGTTTATTGCTATTTGTGTCTGCCAGCACTATTACTAAGGAGGGCCAGTTTAAACACTCCAGTCAGTTTCAGCTGCTATGTTGGTCTGAAAACATTATCCAAAAACATATTCTTGGTATTAGCCAACAATCTAGCAGTCCGTGTGTTGTTTCCTAAAATGCTGAGCTGTGGTCTGTTGTTTGCAGTGACTTTTCGTTGTTGTGTCACTCAAAAGTCTTAAGTACTGTTTTCATTTTCAACAAATGAAAAACAGACAGCAGAGGGGCTGTGAGTTTCTGTAAAAGTACATATTTTTAGTAAAAGTACCACTTATTGGCTTTGGACATTGTCAAGTACTGACCCTCCTTCAGACAAAATAATTCAGTTCTTTTGTGAAGCAGCTCCAAGTATGAGACATTGGTCTTAACTAACACTGTAGTTATGCTGCCTTGTGGAAAAGGAACTCGATTTCCTTTTCTGGCTTTTGTTTCTGTCTTTGCTTTGACGTTTATCGTGAAGTCGTTCCAAACTGATTTACTTAAAGTCTTGGTTTCCTTGAGCGTGTGATAATCTACGCCTTTTATGGCCTACCAAGCGGCTCCTCACTGTCCATCTGACACCTTTATGGCTGTTTTGGTGCAGACGTTTTCACACTGCTGCTTTGTGTATCCCTACGTTAACGGTTACACCTTCAAATAAATTCACACCTGCTGTTATGGAGGGTCAATAAAGTGAAACTGCCACAGAAGCAGAGGTTTGTACATGACAATGCATGTGTGGTGATCTGTTTGACTTTTTATGTTTTAAGTTAATTTGACTCTTTGTATCCTCTGTAGTGGTTGTCTGGTGGTTGACCTTATTTGTTTTTAGTGGCTCAAAAAGATTTGCACACTCGGTGATGACTCAGGCAGATCACAAGCTTGAAAAGAGGGGTGCTGACAAACAGGATACACATTTGGTAAATGGACAAGCCTACTGATCGATGTTCATTGTTTGCCTTCAACATCATCAAATAGGGAAAACAATGATTATATCAGGTTTGGGATGAAACCACACTCAAAAGAAAAAGTCAAATTTAAAGCAAATCTCCCTTCTTAACATGAGGTTAACATATTCTCCGCTGTGCCTGAAAGAACAGAAGCTACATATGGGTAGTTGGGTTACAGGATTGAGTTGTAGTTGGCGTGCTGGATGAGTAGCATGAGTCACAGTGTGTGTGTTACCTTATGGTAACTCACACTCTGAAATGATGAGGTACTTCTGCTAGCGGGGGCACTTCACTGGAGAGGCAGTATACATTGGCCTTCTGTATTTCTGCTGCTCATCCCCACAGATATTCACTTTTACTCCGTTTTTATTTTATATACCATTTTAATGTGCTGTCTTCAGTTATACATGTGAGCTTGTACCAGTCACCTACATTAACTGGGATGTCAGAGGAAGGTGCTCCTCCTGAGTTGCTGGGAGAACACTGCCTGCCTCGGCAGTAGTGTTAACAGTAGCATATGTTTTTCTTTTATGTCTTGTACGTGGGTTCCAGGTTCCTTGAACTATGCCTGGAGCTGTAAGAGAAGATGGGACATGTCTGCATGGAGGAATAGATGCTGATGCAATTATATATGAAGGGTGGCTAATCAGGTTTGATGCAATTGAGTGGAAGAATTTCACAAGCCTCTGTAATTGTAGGCAATTACAGTCCTGCTCTTTTGGGGGACAGGAGAAGGGTATTATAAAAATATTCATCCTGTGTATTATGACCTCTAAACATAGTATGTAGCAGTACTCTTAAATGGTTAAAGTCTGCGCTCATAGTTGTAGATTTAAGAGTTGCAGTGTTCCGCTTAATTCGGTGACTGGCCAGGTGTTTCTTCTGAAAGCCAGCATGTTTCATAGTTTGTAAATTCTTTCACTCATTCTTCATGTAACTGTTTTTGCCACTGTAATTCTCAGCTGCTCACCATAAAATTCTGCCAGGAAAAAAAAAAAAAAGAGGTTTGCCTTTATCAGTATTTTTTAGATCCTGTGTAACCCAGATATTGCTATCATTGAGATTTGTTATGTAGCAGACCTGACAGTATAACTGTACACTCCTGAAAAGGGAGCCTGACTGTTTTCTGATCTGCTCCTTTTTGCCATGCTTTGATGGCAGTTGCTTTATAAATCTAACTCATAGTTTTAATGCACATTTTCTCTGTGACTCACTACTGGGCAGCCCAGTGCTGACCTGGATTAAATGCAGGACAAGAAGCGAACAAGTAGCAGCCACTATCTGGCCTGCAATATCCTGTAGTTCCACTGATATTTTAAATTTGAACTAAACTTTGACCCCAAATGTCCTGCTCTGCACGATGTGCATGCAGTGGGATTCTGGCAGTGACACGGGAAAGGAAAATTTGATTTTGTGCATCTCTGAAGTCTATCAAGTATGCAACTCAATGTGGCAGAAAACAGCAAGGTCAAATATGTCATGTTAGAAAACGAAGGTTATTGTTTACGTTAGGTGCTTTGAATCGATTTAATTATTGTTTATATGGCTTTTCTTTAGCCTGACAAACTGTTATGTTGTATTACTGTTACAGGTGTGCACCGCTGAGCAAATTATTCACTATTGTGTGTTTGGTATGAAACTGGTTGTTAAACAGGCACTGTAGATGTAGATTAAACATCACAGCGACATACTAGGAAAAAAAAAATATTGCTCTCAATATTTAAGACCACTCTGTTGGGGTTTGTTGGAAAAAGGCATCAGTGACTGTCCAGTGTAGACAGATGTTTTCTGATGTTTGTTTTTAGGCATGCAGAAGCCTTTGCACCCTGGTTCCACTCAGATGGACCATAGAGCATCTGCGACCTGTCTGAAGAGCCCGAGCCTTGACTGGCAGACCCCGAGCATCCACCTGTGGAACACATTGTTCAGCAATGACGAATTACAGCTGGTGTGCGGAAAAGCCTCACTGATCTACATTGTTGCTCTGCATTCCAGACGAGATGGAAAAAGAGTGAGTGGACACGAGGAAAAGTCAGCTCCGCATTTCGACCATCTCCAACCACAAAACATTTAGAGTAAGTGTAACATTTAGTTTGTTCACAGAAATGTGGAAAATGTGAACGGATCTGAAAATCTGAGAGTAGTTATATGTAAAACACATGGTCTTGTATGGAGTTAGCTAGCAGGCAAACAGAAAAGTGAGCTTTGAGTTAGATGACAACTGGCAGTTGTATTGTATAACCATTAGACGCTGTCCTGCATTGCGAGTGAAATATCTTTAAACGTCAAAAATGTCATGTATATAGTGTATATTCTGAGGAACTGACAGGTAAATGTAGAATAAGATATATACACTTTAATTAATGTTGCAAATGCAGTATCTTTGGGTTTTTTAACTGTTGACTGGACAAACTGGCAGTATAAAGACGTGACTGGAAACCTACATTTTTTTTCTTTCTGACATTTTATAAACTAAATAATTTATCTTAAATCAATGATGAAAATAGTCATGTGTAGCACGTCTCATGTAAAGACTCCATTGAGCTATTGGACAGATTATACCGCAGCATTTTCACAACTGAAGCTTCAAAACGATAGGCCAGAATAAACCAAACCATGTCCTTCTGTATGTCTAGTCCATGTTTAATTCCTCAGCAGCATACAGTATGTCAGTTATTTTCATGTCTCATGTCCACTGTCTTTTCTTACTGGCACATCTGAATATTTAGCTCTCTAAACATTCACTTTTAATTGCATCAAGCTTCATCTGACCTACTTTCTGATAAGCAATGAGTCAGATGGTTTATAGTGCTTTCAAATGTAGTTGTATTTCCTGTGAAGGGGGCATCAATGACTCACTGTTGTACAATTTGTGCATTAAGACGAAGAGATTTTCCTAAAGTTCAGTTTTTGTTTGGGGAGGTCACTTAGCTTTGTTGTCTACACTGACTTGGATTAAAGGCAGGACAAGAAGGGGACACAGCATTTGTAAGTTGCAGAGTTGGTGCTGTTTAAGCACAGCTACCACACACACTGAGCAGCTAACTTCCCTTGTCAAAAAACACAACTTTGAAGGTAGCATTGTGCATCAATTACTAGTTCAGAGACGCGCCAAAATACTAGATGAAAAACTCCACAACCTCATCTTAGAGGAAAATTGACCTTAAATTGAAGCTGCCATTCATGAAGATGAACCAATGTAGACAACAAAAACCAGAGTTGCCATCTTAGAGACTTTGAGGAAAGGTGTACTAGTGTCTGTTTTTAAAACATCTTAATTAAACATTGAGACCAACAAGCTACCTACGTCCCCACCCCCCTGCCTGGGCACAGAGAAGCCTCCCTGTTGATGGTGCAGCTTTGTATTCATGCCAGTGAACAACCATATGGTTCAGTGTATAAATCAGTTGCTCTGCTCCTGTATTTAAATTGTATCTCCAATGCTGACCTGCTCTCTGTAAACTGACTACACACTGGGGAAAAATACTGAACTCTCTCTTTTTTTTGAGCAGTTATCGCAGTACTGGAAAGTGGCCAAGCAAGACTGTGAAAAATCAGTTTATGAAAATACAATCAGCTGTATCAAAATGAGCCAAATGTGTATTTCTCGGTCTGTTTGAATTTCTAAAATCAAAATAGTATAGCAAGTCTTTTCAAGTATAATGCTCTTACATCAAGAATGCAATCACTTGTTTCAGCTCTGTGGCACACATAATTTGAGAAAAGTACCCTGCAGCTAGCTCCTTGTTTCAAAACCAACATACCACACAAATACAAAA